TGTGTAAGCTTCATTTTAGGGCACATGCTACCTTGCTTTCAGTCATTTTTTACACTTCATTTTTGTCCATCCACTTTCAGATGTAACTAATCTCCCCTGGGTGATTCCAGCATTGCTGCAGAAACCGTCCTGCTGCACATTCTATAATAAAAAATACGCCATAACAATATTTAACAAGGAAAAGAGGAATAGGAAGTGGTACATCTGCACAATGGATATAATATAGTATTGGAATTTCCTGGCTTCAGCACTCCCTCCAAAGTAATAATGCATTAATAAAATTACACTTAGCTTTCTGCTTTCAAAAGGAAAATACTTGAAAACAAAAGTCTCTTCATCTTCCAAGTTCTTCTGGCTCTGTGTGTGAGATGGTGAAAATAACGCAGGACTGTGTAACCACAGCAAACAAGTGGGATGAGAATTCTGTAGCAGCTTGGCTGGCCTGAAGGAGAGTGCTAGTGAAGGAGCAGCCTGGATTTTGGATTTAATAGGTGGATTGCCACCCCCCCCCCCCGACCCCCCCCCCCCCCCCCGTCCCCCCATCCCCATCCATTTCTATGGATGAAAATAAAATGAGTCTGTTCAGGCAGAGCTATGGTGACCTATAAGTAAAGATGTCTGACATTTCCATTATAAGAGGCAGGGTTTAATTGGCTATAGCTTCAACTGTTGGTTGGTTGGAATTTTAATTGATTAGGCAGGACTTTCCTTTTCTGGGTATCTCTTGCAATCTGACTTCTTTTTTGAGAGAGGGAAGCAGCAGAGAGGGTAAGGAGTTCATCAGTATCTATAAAGCAATTGAGCAAAAATGAAGTATTTTGACCATATAGAGAAGCTCTAAATGCATTGCTTAAAATTGGCAAAGAAGTCACGCTCTTCTGCTTTCTGTGGAAAATTTCAGCTGATACACTGACAGTAGAAATCTGTTCAAATTTAGCACACGGATGTGCAAAAAAACTCCATTTACCCTGAGCATGCTCCTAAGCAGGGACAGAATTAACTCACTGAGGAGCACTTGATTGATCCACCAGTAAAAATGCTGAAAGACAGCAGAAGTATGTACATATCTAATCTCACAGCACTTTTAACTTTTGTGAGGCTCAGCTAGTGGAATGTATAAAGTTATTTTTCTTCCCTGTTTTACCAGTAAAATTCCTTGGTATAGACAAAAATTTGAAGTATAGATTTTATTCTTTATCTTTTAAATTAACCTTGCCTTTAGAATCGCTGTGAAACAAAGTACATGACCCTCTGACTCACTGGATTCTTCCTAGGTGTTTTGCTGGAAGGCATTACCAAATGTTCATTGGGTACTGACATTTTTAACCATGTTAATAAAAATATTGACGATGTGTTAAGATTACATAATTTGGGGGTCTTGGTTAGTGGAGATCAATCAACGTTATCTGTATATAGCACTACATCTTAGCTCGATTCCTCGTGAAGTCTGGTTTTAATATTCAGCCCATTGTTACAAAACAAGGATATTTTTGATGTACCATAGTCAAAGGCACTTGTCCTCAGTGCTCTACCAAAGTAAATTCCTTTCTGCTCTTCACTGACCATGTATCCTCCCCTATTAGTTTTTTTATGTCTTCAATAAAATTTTATAAGAAATAAAAAGGTGTGGAATCTGCATTACTACTGGTTAAAAACCAGCCTTGCTGTTGTTTACAGAAGCAGTGCCAATCTTTTGTTTTCATGATAAGAGAGAAAATGTGTTTTCTTTCCTCTGCAGGTTAGTCAGTATGTCAATAATTTAAGATACTGGGGTTTGACACTTCACTGTTTTCCTGTGGAAATATTTGAAGATAAGTTCACCACCCAGCAGGTCTTAAGTAAGACATACTGCTCTTGTTTTAGAACCAGCTCTTAGGGCTGGGTGTACTGTACACTGGCCACCAGAGGCCTGAATGATGGGCTAATGCTGTCATTGCCAAGACTCCCCAAGATGCTGGTGGATATTGGGTCAGGCCCTAGATTATCTGTCTTCTTCCATTTAACGGCAGGCTTAGAGCAAGCCGGAGCAGCTTTTCCTGTGGTGAGCTTAAGTGTGCGATCAGTGCAAACACATACATTCCTGTGGCTTCATTTTACCGAGAAAATCTGGTGGGAGTATGTATGCAACTTAGTCGTGATTGCTGCAAGCTGTGAGTGTGATCAAGAGCACTGCAGAGCTTCAAAACCCTGTTGAAGACTATGTTAAGGTTAATGACATTGGGTATGCAACCGATTTACAGCGTGCTGAAAACATCTCTCTTATATAAGATATAGAAGAACAAACAATATGAACTGGGACCTTTTTGATGTGCAAGTTTCTGCATCTTAAAGTCATCTAAGAAGTTTTGGGGTTTGGGTTTTGGTTTTGGTTTTTTTCTTCAAACTAAAGATAAAGTATTGATTTTCAGTAATTAAAAAATCACAACGTGTATGGTGCTTACAAGTTCTAGAAGCTAAATCAAGGCTTTGTCTGCTGCTTATGTGGTATCTACCTACTGCATGTCCTAGTATTTAGCTTAAGGAGTAAAAATGTGCTGGCATTATTTTTTTCCATCTGTTCCATAACCTCTTATACGGAGCTTCTAAAAACTCAAGCAGACTAAACAGGTCACAGTAAAAACAGTAAGGTTGCTTTTCATGTATTCTTCGAATCAGAACTTTTAATTAAAGTTTTTAGTTTGTTTGCTAATTAGAGAACAGGTCCACAATGTGGTGTCTATCTTCTTCCATTTGAATCAATAAACAGAGAAGTCATGAGAAAGGGACCTCTTCCCTCCAGGGAGTCTTTTCTTCTTAATGTTGACTCAGGTTTTTAGTGCTTATTCTTGTCTTCTTTCCTGTACTGACTACTTCCCAGTCTTTTCTCTTTCAGTTCCCCCTTGTTTCCCAATGTGAGATCAGTTGCCTTACAGATGGCACGTATGCATTTGTCCTTCACATTTAACTGCTGTGTCGTGAGTGTGGTGCACTTTTCAGCCTGCATTGCAAAAGTAAGCTCTTTAACCAGGCTGAATGGTGCTTTTTAAGCCCATCAAATTTTAAAACGTGAGTTTCATTGAAAGCGAAACAAGAGAAATACTTCACCTATAAATAATGGATATGCACTTTTAAGTAACTTGTGAGGCCTGTTCGGAATTATCCCGAAGGTTTGCCTCCCACCTGAAAATCACAGTGCTGGCTGAGAAATGAGTACTTCATGTACTTACAACTTGATTAAAGAGAGATAAGTTACAAAATGGTCTCACACTTTTGGTTTGCTGTGTGCTTTGGATGGCATAGTTAGATTTTGTAACTTCTCTTTTATGGTTAGTGGAGTCCAATTCCTGCAAAGACTTAACATGTATATTTAACTTTATTTTGGTTAACTCTCCGTGTTAAGACTTTAGATTTGGAACTCTGATTAGTTTCTTCCTTGCTGAAAAGACCACTATAAATTTCAGTAGGGAAACAGAAAAGTCCCCTAACAATTTTTAAGGAAGCTTTTGAAACAATGATTTGAGGATGCGCGATTTAAAGTAAATTGCATCAGGTGCTGGGTTATTATAAAATAAAAAATGTCTGAACAACAGTGACCTGCTTTTTGTGTGTTCGGCTTGCTACTGCACACTAGGAAATTCAGAAACTGATTGTAAGGGAGCAAATAATCAGAAATTCAAGTGTAACCAAATGCTGTGGGTTTTGAGGGCTGCAATTCCCACTCATCTAACCATGAGTGCAGGATATATTGGGTCCCTGCAGATCCTAGGCACACCTTGCTTGTGCTCTGTGTTGCTCCTGTGTGTGCCAGCTCTGAAGGGCTTTGCCTGTGATGTGGAAATAAAGGTCAGTGAAAACAAATACCATAAAAGGACACAGTAGAATATTTCAAATTTTAGAGACATTATCTATCTTCAAACCCCCTCGCCAGACCTACATTAAAATAATGATCAGAACCCAAATATAGAACATTTGAACTGTCCGTTTCCAGGCCAGATGTGCTGTGTTATGTAATGCCATTTTTGGGTGATTGCTGGTGCTTGGAGTGAAAGGAAAATGTATGTTCATTGTAGATATTGTTCCAAAAAGCAAATGTCATAAAAATGTTACAAAAACTCAAGGCCTTAAGCTACAAATTTTAGCAAATGCAAGTTCTACACAGAGCCTTGCCTATATACAGGCTGAACTCTCCAGCAAGGTACAGTCCAGCCCCAGAGGTTATGATGAGAGCCCAAATACATATCCCTACACCAGCACACTTTAGCCAGATACAAAAGCACTGTACCTCCTAAAAGCTTGTTCCTCCAGGCATGGCACGTTTCTAAGTTAAATGCATCACAAAAGAAATTTTCTCCATATGCTTTTCAAAACCCTAATAAATAAAAGCCATCCAAGCCAGTAGCTCTTGATATGTATGTGCAACAGGCTTCCCAGAAATACTTTGTAAAGAGAGCATCAATGTTTTCCACTGTTTGCAGGGAGGAAATCCGTTGAGTTCAGACCTCTGTAATCAATCCACATTGCAGAGTCACAAATAGACAAACAAAGGACAATTGCTGCCCAATTTTTGCACTGCAGATGCATAAATCAGACTCCATTTTCTTCACTGCTTCATATTGCATTCTCAAGGCTATGTGCCAACCTCATGCCTCCATTGGTTATGTAGCTGTCCCCTCTGTCACTGCAGCCAGGGCTGGGATAGCACACTCACCGCTTGAAGCATTTCATGGTTGTGATCCCAAGCAGAAGACTAGCATCTACACAGGGCATTGGAGAGTCAGATATACCAAGGGAAAGACTTGAAACATCTACATGAAGTGTCTGAGCACATATAGGGAGCATACCACACGGGTCACCAAGCTCAGTCAAGTCAGGGAGCATTTTTTCTCTTTCAAATCAGTTTCACTGTGAAGAAAATTTACCTCTTTTTCAGGCATTCTGTAGCAAGAACAAAAATAGGAACCAAATTCTGCCTGGCCTCTCTGCATGGAGGTGAGAGGGGTTGAGGACAGAGGGTGCTGTGCTTCAGTTATGCCTAGGGCACAACCTGCACAGGAACTCATTGTCCCCAACGAGAAATGTGACCTTTAGTGACTCACTTTTTCTCAGAGGGGATGGCAGAGCAGCTACACTCTGCAAGAGCAGCAGGCGAGCCTGCATCTGAGCTCTGCTTCTAGAAGGGGTAAGCCTTGGGATATTTATATTTTAGGCACCCTTTACCTCCACCTTGTAGACTTACAGTGCAAGAGAGGATGAATAGTCTTTCCGAGGGCTATTTAAGAGAAACCTGCTCCCTCTGGGAGAGGGACTCAGCAGTAAATGGGCAGCATTTGTAGGCTATTAAAGTACCCCCATGGCTTCAGACTCTTTGTCAGGCTGACTTAGGGGTAGGAATAGGTAAGTAGCTCAGGCACAGCAGATAGCAGTAATCTGCCAGCTCTTTTGCCATATGTTTCATCCCCAGACCCAGCTGACTGGGCCTGTCTGCACCCAGTCCAAGATCTCTGGCTTGGCTCTGGGAAGGCTGCTGTTCGTGCACAGTGCTCAAGTGTTGTTCAGAAAAACAAGTGCTGGTTTTCAAACCCATTTAGTTCTACAAATGTGTTTCATTGCTATGGTATTTCTAGATCTGTGCCCCTTTTCCTTTAGCCTCAATAACATCAATAAGTGAGATTTTTAAAAGAGCAATCATATCTCCTCTTTGGCTTTATTTAGCAGATTTGTTTAGTCACATAAGGTAGTTTACTCATAACACAAACTGCTTAATCTTCTAACCTTCCTCTGCACCTGTCCCATTTTGACTTTGTCTTTTCCGAATGTGAGCAACCCAGTATTCAAAAGATGTCAGGAGAGGTGTCACCAGTGCCTTGGACAAGAGCCTGAATTCTTCCTATGCTCTACCAACACTTTTTTGTATCCTGTGACAATGTTTTGCATTCTATGATCATGTTTGTAATTTCTCAGGTCTGCAGTGACTGGTAGGCTGTGGTTATCCTGTGATTATCCCCTTCCTCTGCTGTTTCCATTTCATTCTTGTTGTTAGTTGAAGCTCTTGATCTCACACTTTCTACTTTAAAGTTTCAGCTCATTTCTACTACCTCACTCCCTCTTTCTGACCCTTTCTGAAAAGAATATAATATATTGATGATGCCATCTTATCATGATTATTATCTATTCAGTTTCTTCAAGGTACTGGTATTTTATGTGAAATAATTATGTGAAACTCTGAGAAGGAGAATCAGGCCTCACTCTTTTTTGAGCTGCATCAATTCAGAGAATCTTAGACAGCATGTGCCTGCCTGCTGCATCAGGGCTGGTCACCTGTGGAAAGCGAGTGTTGTAGTAGCTGGCAACGCACAGTCTGCAGCTCACAGGGAATCAGGGAATCAGTAGGGGTTTGATGCGATTGATTAAGTGATACTGTACGCAGTCATCAAAAATGGAACTCCATGATGTACACAATGATGTGCTTTGTTCTAATCTTTGCCTACATTATATCAGAGGAATATCTATTTTTAGATAAAATAAATGTAAATGGATATAATCAAGCCTGCCAAAGGTATCTGACTTCCCAGTTGCTGGGTGTAAGATGAGAGAATGTAATTGCCCAGTCCAGTTCCCAATAAAATGTTTTAGAAACTCACAGGTGGAGGATTTGCTGCTTTAGGGGGGCAGTACTGCAGGATTCCAGGTGGTCATGCAGCAGAAGCAGCAGTGATCTGAGTGTCCCACAAAGGTGGGTTTGAAGAAGTGGCAGAGATTTTATAGTAGCTGAAATACAAATAAAGGAGAAAGGCAAATGTCTGAGGATGAGTCAGCCAAGGGGTGAATGCATTTACTCATAAGTGGGCTGTTTTGTAGATCACACTGAGACTTAGAAACCAAGATAAAGCTGTGGAGTCTGTGCTCGAACTTTTTAGAAACCTTTGATTAATTGCTAGAGGATGACATCTAAAATATCCCTGCTCCTTTTCTTCTTTTTTGTATTCAGCTCCCATTTCTTTCACTTTATCTTATCCTGCCTTTTCCTTTTTCTCTCTCTTTTTTCTCCTCTAATTAAATATAAATAAAAAGGACTGCATGTTCTGTGCTGTCACTTATGATATATAACTTCTCACCAGCAATCCCAGATCCAGATTCAGTAGTGGTTTTAACTGACAGTTTGTAATTATATAACGATAGAAGGTTTATAGGTTTCAACTGCGTATCTGCATTTGTTGTCTTCTGGGTAGTTTTTGTAAACTTAACCATGTGTAAATCAGAACTTTATTACATATCTACATGTATAAATATTTCTGCTTTTAGATCTCATCAGATTAGTGATTTTTAAGTCCCTTCTAGTCCATAAAGTCCATGCTGGTATAGCAGTATCAGCCAGGGGAATGATAGTTTGGGGCTTTTTTCCCTTTCTGACTGAAGATAATGAGGTTAATGTGCAGTGAAACTAGAAGAATCTCCATGAAGACTTAACAAAAATTCTTGTTTTTTTTTTTTTTTCTGGGAGAGCTCATTTTCGTCTGGGTAAAGCTCTACAGGTAAGATTACTCTTTTGCTTTCTTTCTTGCTTCACGCACACACACACACGCACCCTTCCAACCGCCTGTAAAACGCTTCTAAACGAGACAAGGCTGCCAGCATGGCTGCAGCAGCTGTCAGCCAACTTCCTGCTGGAGCCAGAGACGACACTTCTCTGGTGCAGCGCTGCCATGGCTTGGACTTTCGGCGTGAGCCGGATTCTTCCACAGCCGCTCAGGCTGGGAGCGGTGGGTCAGCCGTGGGTGAGAGGAGGAGTTGCCGGAGCTGGTACTGCGTGCCTGGGGAGCCGGGGCTATCTCCGGCAGCAGTTCCACCTCTGGCAGGAACCGGCCCTTGGCGGCCGCGGAGCCGATGTGTTTCCCCGCGCCCTGCCAGCTTCAGGCAGACAGAGCAGCCATAGGAACAGCCGCGGAGCAGGAAGCGGACCCAGAAAGAGCTGAAAACCGATGCTGAGCAGCAGCGGTCGGTACGGAGGATGCCTGATGCAGCTCTGCTGCCCTGATGTTGTGGCAGATTCCCAGCGGGACCGTGCACGCACCACGACGGCAGCGTACGGCCCTCCTGCAGGGGGGCACCTCTGTGCTAAATGTCAGGAAGCAAAACTGAATGCAGTCACCTGTGCTTGAACAGGCGAAAAATCTCTGGGCACCTCACAGCATTTAAAAAAACCCTCAAACCAATTGTAGAATTTTCACAATATAAACCGCAATGACCTGAAGGTGAGATTGCCTTCTTCTTTAGCCCTGCAGTGAGCTGGCTTTCTGAGGAGAGGCCTCTCTCTTATTATCATTCTTCAGTGAGATAGTTTGCATTTCTTTACAGAGATGATCTGCATTGCCTCCCCAGAAAACCTGAAATGGTGCCCCCCCCCCGGTTCTGCTTGGAAAGCCATGTGACCTCAGCTCCACATACACTTTCCATAGTAAAGGATGCTGTGAAACGGGAAAATCTCTTCCATCCTGGGCCCTATTCACATCTAATTTGGCAATCCCACTTCAGACTAGCAGAAGTACTAAAGACTGGGGAAAGTTAGTTTACACTATTCAGCTACATAGCTCACTGCAGCCTTCCTATTTGGTCTGTATTTACTCCCTTTTAGCATCAGTACTGCTTACTGGGAATTTGTTATGAAGTAAAAACCTTAAATGCAAACTACTTCCCAGGCCAGTTAGAAATATTTAAACACTTCAGGCAGTCAGTCTGTGATTCAGAGATTTATTTTTAAAACTGTTGATTTTGGGACACCAAACCATTGCATTTAAACTGCAGAAGTGAGTCATATTTGTGGGAGGTAATTACTACCAGAAAGTACAACTAACTTTTGTAGGTTTCTCTAGAAAATGTCCACTTATGATCTGCAGCTACTAAAAATAACATGCTTTGTTGAATTTCAGCAAAGTTATCTTTACAGAATTATGTGGATTTATACATATATTCTGTTTTCCTGACATATAATAAAATAAATGACTCACATGCCTAAGAATTTATTTGGATGTTTTATGTGGACTGTCCTGACCAGGTAACTTGCTCGGTTTATACTCTTTTCATGAAAACCAGAAACTTCGTGGTAATTACTAGGGAAAAGCAATTTAACATTGGAACAATGATTGTAGCTAGCACTTACAAACAATGTTTGTTCATCAGAAGGGTCTCTGATTTCTTGTATCATCCAAACCCACAATAATTTATTCAATCTGTTTTCTGTGGTTAATAGATCTTGGGAGCTGAGGGAATTCCAGATGTCCAACACCTGCAGAAGCTACTTGCAGAGCCGGAGGGAACTTTTCTCATTATCCCTCAGTCATGACTGAGGAATTCAAGTTTATTTAACTTGTGGTCACTTAGCAGCGCTCCCTACCAGTAGATGACTCAGATGCTATGCCACCTATCCCAAGAGAATACTCTACAACTGGGTTCAGAAAAATAATGTCATCCATCCTGGCATACTGGGCTTTGAACAGTTTTTCCCATGTCAATCAGGGACAACTTAAGGTGCGCCATAAACCCAAGTGACCTGCCATTGCTAGCAGACCAGGAATGACTGCAAGCAGACCAAAAATGGAGTTGCTATCCAGAAGTTAAACCACAGACCTCTGAATTCCTCCTTCCCCCTCCAAAATGGGCAGTTACAGAAGACGCCTTCCTTTAAAAACTGCAATTACCTGTGTGTGATTTGCCAGCGCCCAGGTAGTCTGTGCCACATTTCCCAGAATCTTGTGACTGAATCACAGTCAGGAAATCTTTCCCCTGTTCTCCCTGCTCCTCCAAAGTGCATCCAGCTCCCACTAACCACATGGTCTCCTGGATGTCATGGGGGTCAGAGATTGGGAGGTTAGGACTTGCTCTTGCCTTTCTATGGCTTTTTGAGGAAGAGAACTAAATAACATTATCCTTATCATCCTTAACTCTGTGTCTTTGAACAGCTCCACCCTATTGTCCTATTCTACCCATGATTCTTGGACAAATAAGCACTTAATTTATTTTTCCTGTTGGTTTTGTGTGTTTTTTTTTGGTTTCATTTGGGTTTGGGTTTGGGTTGGTATTTGGTTTTTGGTTTTTGGTGATTTTTTTTTTTTAATTATTATTATTATTCATTTTTCTTCTTCTTCTTATGATCAGGTTTAAATTACCAGTTGGCTCTGGGTAAATGTGCTGCACTTGGCCATAGCAGTGGGGCTTTCTGGCAGAGGGTTTGTTCACATTAAGGTTGCTCTCTATGCTGCTGGGATGCCACCCTAATGTACCAACCCAGGAAGAGAGCTGAGTGAGTGTCAGCCAACACTTTGAGACACCACACATGGCAGGATGACAGCTGGTGGTCAGGGAACATCAGGACTGTTGTCAGCATTGAAATGGACTGGCGTACACTTTTACATCAAGTAACAAATTGCATCTTTGAGGTGTTGTATCAGCGCTACTTACTACAGCAAGGGTGGGAAGTCAAATTGCCTTTTCCCTTGAAGTAATTCTACAGGAATGTAGGAATTAGGATTTCAATCTGATTAATGTCCCACTCACTTAAGTGTCTTCAATCAAAGAGCAGGAGTCCTGAAAGCTTCAGAGAAAGAGACAAAACCTGGTAATAAATTTTTTTATAGATGCTTTTGAGGCAAAATTCTTCCTAATATGAAAGTTATTTTTGAATGAAAGGTTCATGAAAGATGAACACAGATTTCTTCTTCTGGCGGCTTCTGCAGTGGAAGGAAACAGTTGTGTCCCAAACAAAATGCAGTGACGGGCTTGAAATTGGAAAAACATTTCTCAATATAGCTATATATTACGTCTATTATTTAACAGGATAGTCACTATCAAAATGGGCTAAAGACAAATCTAAACAATTAGTTTTTTTCTGTTTTCAGAGACATTTTAGAGTTTTCAATGTTGATATTGGATGGAGACTTAACCAGAGCATCCTTACTATTATTAGGGATTCGGTGGTCATGGGTAATAAATTTAAACACACTTGCATCAAAATTAATCAACTTTTACACATAACTTAATTTCATAATCTCAAATCAGATCATTTTTGTCAATATTTTTTAATCTTCCTGATTTGAGAAGCATCTTTCATATGTTGAGAAGGGGGTCTCTGTTAATTCCTCAGCACTCCCTCAAGCCTTTCAAAAACCCTCCAAATGGCAGTGGGTTTTTAGGAAAGCTGGTGATCACCACTGAGTCTTGGGCTGTACTGTAAGCTGAATGCTTTGAGGTAGGTTCTGTGTTTGTTAAAGTGGGTCTACTTTTATGACTCAGTTTTTCCTGCAGCAGTGAAAGAGCAGCATATTCTGCTTCACTTATGCATTTAGATCTGACCAGCAGTTGCCTAGAGCTGAGTTCATGTATTTGCAAAATACTGTTTTCCCTGCACTGGATCCCGAAGGGTGTTTGCCTCAAGAGTTGTGTCCGGGTCTCATCTTCTGTAATGCTTCTCTACACTATTGTTACTTTTTTGCTGTTGCTTTGCAGGACGGAGAAATACAAGGTAAGAGAATCATATTAAAATTGTTTGTACCTCTCGAGACTGTTGCACATTCCATTAAAATACATTTTTGTATTATAGTTACTCAGTCTTCTTCATGATATAAACCAGGGGTGGAAATGCTGCTGAGACTGCTGCTACACCTTGATCAGTAGGAGCGAGGCCAGATATGGCTTCTGGGGGATGATTGCTAAAATACCAGACTCAGGTTCCACCAATCCAGCCCACTGGAAATCCTGCTGCCTCTGTTTCTTTAGACAGAAGAGGCAAATAAAAAGCATGATAATTCTGAAAGGACTCAACTAGCAGTGACGAGGACTTGGCTAGAGGGTTTATAGGGCTTGCCAATAAAATGGTGCCCCAGCTCTGACACTCCACAGAGGGCAGGACAAGGTTGGCATGGGGCTGGACCTGCCCAGCCCAGCGACTTCTTGCACTGACAGTCCCTGTGCTCCACACAGGAAGTGGTAAAGGGCTTTTCCTGCTTCCCAGCTCACCCAGCCCTATAACATGGCCTCTTTCTCTTGTGCCTTCTTCTAGGTGCAAACTATTGCTCTGCATTAGGGTGAGCACCCTCCTGGGCTTACTTCTGTGGTGCTTTCCCTGGGCTTCCCCCCTCCACAGTCCCACTGTATTTAGACATAGTTGGTGCAGCCTCTACTGCAAATAGAAACTCCCTTATGGTATGCCTCCTTTTCTAACAAGAAATAACTTGCCAAAGCACTGAGTGACCAAGCCCAGACCTTGCACCAGGAGGGGTTTGCTACGTGCCTTCTTGCTTCTCTGCCTTTCTGACTTTCATAAGGACTCTCTACCTTGTAGCTTCTGCCAAGAAACTTTTGCCTTGATAAGGGGAAGCATAAGAAAGATTGCCTGCAAACAGACAGACAGACAGACAGAATGATAACTGCCTTTTGGTACAGAGGTTGAGCTCTGCAGTCTCTGGTTTAAATATTTGTAAGAGGAGTCAGCAGCGTTTTCAAGATGGTCACTTCCAGCAGACCTAGAAGTGCAGTGGAGATTGCAGGGGTAAAGTCTGGTCATAGATTACTCATAAAAAGAGAGAAAATTTAGTACAATAATCTAAATACTAGCTGACAATTTTTTTTTGCCAAGTTTTAGTTCAGCAGAGTTGAAATGGCCAAGTTTTCAATGCCAACAATTGAGGTTTGTAAAGGAAATACCAAACCAACCTTGGCGGAAAAAGAGGCGGACGTTAAATTACAGAGCAAAGATTGCATTGGCTCTGTAGGTGGAGAAATAAACAAGTTACAAAAAAGAAAATCAGTTGGAGTTTTTCATTTTGATTCTCGTGCCTAAGCAGAAAAGGATATGATTTACCAGCAATGGCTGAGCTGAAGCTGACGCTCAGAAGCTGTATGGAATTGCCGGTGAGGGGAGCAGGGAAGAGGACCAATACAAGGAAGTGCTGCAGAAATGCCCAGGAAGTGTTGGTTGGTCTCATCATGTAACGACTTAAAAAGAGCTCAGACCACAAATTCTTGACTGTTCTTAATTTAGAAAGTGCCCAAAAGACACATTCTTTAATGCAGACAATATTTTTTCTTGGATACAGTGTTGACAATATACACTTGTCATTGGACATTTGTGTAATTTTTCCTGCATGATGTCTAAGAGCATTCCCCTAAATTCCTGCAGCAGCAGCTAAACTCACCATGAGCTATCTTCATCCAAGAGGCATTCCACTGAAGTTGGAGAAACTATTTGCTGTATGTGAACTGCCAAGTCATACAGGAGCAAGGACAGCAAACTCTTCCCCTGAAATATTATTTCAGTCATTTCAGTTTTATAAAGGACAGAGGAAAACATTACCCATTGCATGGGTAGACTTATTTGTCTACTCCAGAAAGCTGAATGTATTTCATCCAGAAGTGACAGTGGTGCCTGAAAAACCACTTCTTAGAATTAGAAGGTTGAATTTGTAGTGCAGCTTGCCAAGCCCAGGTTTCCACACCCAGTAATGGATGGACATCAGAGAGGTCACAGTACAGAAATGCCAAAGCATAGGTGCTGGCTCTTGTACAGGACCAACCTAGAGATAACTTGGTTGAGTAAATCCTACACCACGTACAACCCTGACAGATGGGCTGTATGTGTAGTTAGTGGCAGAGACTGACAGTCAGTGGCCATAATTTCCATACTGCTTTCTCCAGATTACCTATGAATGACCACCCTACTGCTTTTAACTTGCTAGCTCAATGCTTTCCTATTCAATTAAACAGATGTCATGCTACAGCAGAGTATTTCTGGAGCTTCTGCTGTAAATTATTCATACCTGGAAAAAACCCAGCCCCAGCTAATACTTGGGTACTCAATCACATACAGCAGTCACCTATACATTCCTTTTGTAACGGCTGTAGGCATTTGCAATAAGCTGCTGCAATTTTCCTTACTCTGTGCTATGTTTCTCTGTTCTTTCTCCGTTCTCCATTTCTGCAAAATTGTGTTTAAAAAATTTTAAGCAAATATGAGAGTGTTCTATCATGTGCAAATATGTAAATCTTGTGATGCATAGGAATACACAGACTATTTCTGCTGTTAGAATCCTAGAATAGTTAGGGTTGAAAAGGACCTTAAGATCATCTAGTTCCAATAACCCTGCCATGGGCAGGGACACCTCACACTAAAATCTTCCTTAATCAGTGCATGAACTTAGTAGTTTTAACCTACCAAATAAAATTAGAGATAAGTTTTACTGATTAAATGATCCGTAGCAGCAGGAATACATTATTTAGTTTTCCTTATATGCTTCTAGCTAGAGGTAAATAAGATATCATTGCAGTACCATTCACTTTGTTATAGCTCTGGCTGTGTCAGCATTTATATTACAAACCTCTTCTTCCAGGGGTTTATAACTCAGCCATAAAATGTGCTCCAGTCTGAAACTTGGCACACAAGGTCTGAGTCTGGCATGAAGTTATTTTACAAAAAGTTAGAACAATGCATTAGCTCTTTGGCCGTATCCAAGTTATAAGTGTTTCGGATCTGAGCAACAGCGTGGGCCTACATAGAAAAGCCAGTGAAGACCTGCGCAGCACATCGCTCCAGCCTTGCCCTTCCAGGGTCACTGTAAAATCCAAGTGTGTCAAAGCTTAAAACGTTTCATGAGGTTATGCACCCTGAAAAGTTTGATTCAAATGGTGAAGTTTCAGCAGTCAGTGTTGTGCATTGCATTCCTACTGCTCCTGCTGTGAGCAGAGCCCAGCTGAGCTCCCGAATGGCTTTTCATGGTTCACAATAGAACCCCAGACCTGCTGGGACGGTTAGGATGTTGAGGAATGATCTCTGTTTCACTTGCACTTGTACCTTCATTTCCCAGACTGCGAGTATTGCCTCTCAGGGCCTGACTCTTGCCTTCCCTTCCCTGCTGCCCTGCAGCAGGAGCCTGGACCTCTCTTCAGACACCACTCCCTGCAGCTCAGGGCCATGCAGAGAGCTGGGCTGCCTTCCACTCGGGGTGGGGGGGGGGGGACGGACGGACACAGGACACGGGGGGAGGGCCCTGCAGCCACAGCCGGCCTTTGATTTCCTATCAATCAACCACACAGGAAAAGGTCCCATAAACAGCAGAGTTGTTAAAGTCATCGGGTTTCACATTCGGAGACTGAATTTGCCATGCCCTTCCCTCGGGGCTCTTGGGAATTTACAGTGTTACAGTCCCCGAGGCCAGGTGTCCTTCCTCAGCCACAGCCTTCTGCTGGCGATGGGGAAGTAGTGCCCTCAACACAGTCACAAGCCTCATCCTCCTCCGCCACAGTGGTTACCTACCCAAAGCTCCCACCCAACGTTTTTAAGAGACCTTCTGGCATTATCGCAGGGCTTTCTCCTGTTAGTCCTGGAACACAA